CGTCGAGGCAATAATCGATTGGAACTGTAAATCTTAATGGGGGAGAGTGTAACGGGGTTACACATACCCTGGTAGCAGGGGTGTGTGTCACACCAGATTGGCATGGTGTGACCACACCCGAACAAGAATACGGTACGGGGCTGGATAGCCAATAGTTATACATGTATTAAGATTTTACTATACATATTTAGAGAAATCTATGCACTCAAAATTAGTCGGATTGCCGCAGATAAAAATAAAGTCAGTTTTGAATTTAAACGGAAGAGTTTATTAGCCTTGGGCTAAGGCTATAATTACTCTCGGAATAAGCGGATTGCGATTCGCCAAACTCGTACTTGTTCTGATTATAGAACGAGAGGTCGGTGACCTAACTTACACTTCCTCAAAGCGCAAAGCCACGGCAGCCCCGCTGCAACTCGGCTGTGGAAGTGAATACGAGTGCTACCTGGTGCAACGGGTTGCCGTGCTGAAAGCTTTGACACGAATAGTCCGTATTGTAAACGCACAGAGAATCAGTCCCACTGCTCAGGAGCAAAAAGGGATCACCAAGTGCAACGGGGCTGTCTTGCACCTTACTTAAAGAAAAGTTCGGCGATTCTCAGTAAAGCTCACTCACAAGAGGACCTTGTTTCTTTCTGTTGCAAGAGTGGGTTATATACAGAATCTATTGAACCTCAATTTATAATACTAAATGTATTCTTCTTACTATACATCCAGTAATAAGATTATCTGTATTGCTTAAACAGTGTGATAATACCATATTTAGGTATTTCTAAATACGCACAATCATACTAAACTCTAACATGAATTTCATAAAAATGCACAACTGTATAAATTGCAAGCTCAGTTAAATGTCGAGCGATAGAAATTCTCATCGATGTCCATGTTTCATGGTAATGATACCCTTCTATTGCAAATTATTCACAAACTGCTGAAATTCATTGAGTTACATCTGGTATTCTAACGGCATGCGTCAACGTATCGGCTACCGATAATATCTACATCTCCATACGAACTGGTTTCTCTTGTGTGCTGAAATTAATGTGCGCATGCATTGTTGAGCCACGAGAATTTCGAGAGCATCTTCATGCTATGCAGCTTTTAACCAAGTGTGGCCACAAAAATCTTATCTCGCCCTATCATGTGACTCAAACAATACTTCGCCGAGTCCCGCTGTATACGTGCGCTTGGATGAAGCGCTTCTGGATCTGAAAATAGAAGGGCTCAGGTAAGCAAGTTCGATGTTTTATTGATTCTTCATGAGCCTTACGGGATGCCACAGGAGCGTGTTGTGCTTTATCACATTCAATCAAAATTCTGAATTGTGTCTCATCGATTATCTTGTAAATAAGCACTTGTAAGAATCACATCCTTAGTGTTTGCCAAAATCGAAACGATGGCATGCTCAATTAATGAAAAAACGTGGTTGTCTTCAGTTAAAGGGGGGCAGGGCAGTACAAGCAATGAAGACACAAGGATCTTAATGCGTGGCAACAAAGGCACACAACTTACACCAGTAAAATTTCTGCCGGCTGTGATAAAAAATGTGCCGCTGAAATCATCTCAGGGGTGTGATTTAGCCGAATGAACAGATGTCTCTCCTCAACTCATCAGTATTATTTTTGAGTCAATATATACCTTTGTATTGGCCTCCAGCACCTTCCCTGTATAAAATTATGAGCGTTTATATCAAGCAAGAGGTGGGTGAATGAAATTGCATTCAAATATAATACATTCTATGTACTGCATTGCACACACTGAATCACGTTCGTGCTGCATGACCTGGTTATGAACATGAAAGAGTCCAGAATCAATCAATATCTGTCCAGAGTCAGTCAAATGTGCTTCCTTGAATCCTTCATGAAAATACTGTATACTAACTGTATTTGTATCTACAGTATAAAAAAGCAAAAGTAATGCCAAAATTTACAAAAAAAATCTTTTATTATGAAGAGCTTTCGCCGCGTCTTTTCGATGTCGCTGAGCATGTACAACGTTGATAAATTCCCCAAAGTTAACTTTGGATCAATCCCATAACCGGTGCCGCACATAGCTAGCGGCTGTCGTATTGACACTGTACGGAAGGTTAGACCAACAATCAATCAGAAAGTTTTGGTGAATATAAGGAGCACTCTCTCAGCAAAATAGCTTAATCACCTGAATAGAGTATAATATTATTCTACTCTGAAACGCAACACGAAGCAAGATATTCACTCTTTTCTGACAGAAGGACAGAGTAGTTGTCGCCCTCAAATTTAAAATACCTCCGTTAAAGAGTTATATTTTGCTTACATTTTATTTATGCCAGACCACCACTATGCAAGAATGGAGGTCAATATACCCGTAATCACTATCTCTCTATGTGTTCCTTAGATGTCAGATGGATGGGGTTAGGCTGAGCTTTTTGCATTATGAATAAGCAACATTAGCTCACATTTCATCTCATTCATAGTATAACACTGATGTTTATTTCATCAACATATTTACTTAATTTCCTGTACTATTTTTGCCATATAATTAAAACCAGTTTCTTATATTAAAAATGTCCTTTATTTTTTTCTTACTATGCCGGCAAATACCTCGCCTATGAATACTATTATAATTTTAATTCCTCAAAAGGGTTGTTTCATAAAAATCTATTCTCTTGCAGCCGTATCTGAGTCCGTCACATGAACCTTTTAATGACTACTAGCCGGTGCAGTTCTCCGGCCCTGAGCAGATCCTGGCAGCTGGGCGTCCGTCATTAAAACACACTTATGTGTGATAGATCAGCAGATTTTAGCTTCATTGTATCCGCCTGGCATTGTAGACGTAGAATACATATATATATAAAAAAGCCAGCCAGCCCATAATTAAGGTGCTGACTTGTATCCAAACCGCTCAGATCCATGTCACCTGTACGATCCGGCTTTGCTATGACGTCCCTTCTCTCTGACGGCTCACCAACCATAGGCCACGGGACCAGCTTTCTTGATTCACTCCCAAGCCATATCCAACTTTACCTCGAGCAGCGCAAGCGCTTACAATTAGAATTTCACGCTTGCACAAGGTCAGGGTTGAATATTTACAATCTAATGATTTACCCGCACCGCTCAATACCGCCCATATACGTGGATCTTAACATACCGGTCACGCCTTCGAGAGACAAAGAAGCTTTGGTACAGCCACCGTGCTCACCTGCCGCCAGTTTCACGACGATGCTGCAATCGCGTAACAGTAGCGGTATCGAGCCGCGCCCAAGCCGCGCCAACTCTCTCTTGTTGAATTTGATAGATTTTCCCATTGCTGCCACTGATTCAAATTCAGAAGTAAGTCTCAAAAGCGAGCTCAACAATGTGCTTGATGTGTATGATGGGCATGGCACTTCTGCTGATCAGCAGCATCAGGTTATCCCGCTGCCTAATGGTCCAGATGATACATTGGACCACAACTTCGCTAAATTAAAGCAGAGCCGAGACCCTCAGATCCTTGAGGAAGATGCTGCCTTTCCCGCCGCTGTTTTTACCAGCACGACCATTTCGGTTTCTCGACCACCATTCGCCTTATCAGCAATTCCATCACTAGCGGTTCAGCGAGGTGGCCGCATTTCCCAGTTTTCAGCCAAGCAGCGTCGTGAACGGCACAATGCAAACGAGCGACGTCGTACAAATGCTGCAAAAGATCGTGTTTGTGACATGCGCGATGCGGTGGCGGACCTGGAGCTTCGGCGAGCTGAGCTGGTCGCAAAGCGTGACGCAAACGCTGCCACTAACGAAGTAATTCCACACCGAAGACCACTCGATAAAGTGGTTGATCGCAAATACGTCGACGGCAAACTTGGCTACTGTATTCCAAGTAGTTCGACATACCTTGACCTTGTCAAATCCGTGGACGACCTTCGTCAAGAAAAACGGTATTTGGAGGAGCAGCTTGACCTTCTCGACTCTCAAAATAGTACACTGCAGGCATTGCAGTCCGAATTACTTGTTGCTACCCCGTCATCGATTACAGCAGACGGTGCCACAAAAAGTCTGAAACGTAAGCGAGCGAGATCCGACGTCTTGAATGACAAACATGAGGCTCTTGCAGGACGCGAGACGTTCTCCCCTGTTGGTGGGTACAGTATCGAGACAGAGGCAGTTCCATCATACCTCAAGGTCCTGTTCTCTGAACCAATGACCAGCGATGCAGCTTTTAATTGGGTCAAAGATAGTTACGGTGACATCATGGCCCTAAAAAGTCAGCAGAGATCTGGTGACCCGCATGTCACCTCATTTTTGGGCTGGCGTGAAGACAAGTGCGAGATATCCAAGCCAAAGGGATCCGACAAGGAGTATTCACTTGAAATAATGATGACTCGAGATTTTTCTGGCATCGCGTCGAGCGAGCTCGTTTTCAATACATGGAATCTCTTAACCCTCCTGGATACGTTCAAAAAGCTATTTTCTTTTACCAAAGACTTAGCCGTATTGCAGACTATCAATGACGACTGCGTGGTCGTTCGTATCGGTATTGCTCCATCTCGCGATGCTGCCGTCGTTCATAGCATCGTGGTGCTAGCTCGTGGCCAAATCGACGGTGGCTATCTCATTAGTATGCGCTCGGTGCCGCTCACGCCAGGCCAGAAAGCCTTTGCGGATGGTGAAGAGTCCTACCTTCCCGTGCTAGCATGGATCATGCTGTTGGACAAGTACGACGATTATGCTCACGCCATGTGCGAGGTAATCGTCGGTGCCTCGACTCAACACAAGTCACATCGCGTACTACGCCGTCTAGCTACCGAATTTATCGCCGGCGCAGTGCGCTGGCAGGAGGCAGTTGGTCAAAACAACAAGTGGCTGTTTTAAACGTATGAGCATATTTAACATTAACGCGTTCAGTAAGGAGTAAGGTATTAATTCAACGTTAATAGTGATGTAAAAGTTTCTGCATTTACGAATCATTGTAATAGTAACGAGGTACCAATGCATACTGTACATTTGTACAAAAACCTGGCGCAATCACACTAATCTATTTCGGCCCATTTCCGATATCTCGGTCACAATTTTGGTGTGAGAATTGTCAATATTGTGTTGTGTATGGAACAATTATACTGAATGTGAAAGAGTTATGTTGCAGTAAACACACCAGGTCATTATCTCCACGAAGACCATTGCGCATGAGATCGCTCCACCCTCAGCATTTAGCCATGCCTGATTTGCAGAGTGTTCTGGCAATTAGATTTTGACATTGTGCAGATAATTAAATGTTTCATTGATCCCTGCCGAAGGCGCAGTCTTTTTTGCGACCAGCGCGTTTAAATACATTTGAGATTAAAATGCTTGGCTTTTTTCCAGTGAGAAATGTCACTGTGACTCCCCGGTCTCGCACAAACATATCGCCTCATACAGAAAAAAGTGTCCTTCAAGGAGGAGGCGCTCACTGTGCTCAGCTTCACCACTACTGTAACATGGAACCCCGAATCCTTTTTCGTAGGAGAGAAATGTTTCAACACTATTCCATGATACACACACATCTAATGAATTTAGTTGGAGAGGTTCTCTATCACTCGACGGCATCAACTCTGTAACAAAGAACGCAATACAATTGTGCTTATACATGTGCATTTCAGCAAGATCAACATTAATCTCTAGTATTATTGTGCGTATTCAGAAATACCTACGTATGGTACTTATCAAGAATTTCATAAAGAAGACTTCCGTGGTACGTGTGGGCTGTTATACTCACGCTTAAGCAAGAAAGAAAGTCATGTTGCTGTATTTTAAAAATTGAGATTCAATTGATTCGGAATATTAGCAAGTTTCACTTGTGAACACAGTTTACTGAGTATTTTTTAACGCGGTATTATAAGGCGAAGTTTTTTGTTGCACTTGGTAGCACTTGTAGTCAATTCATTTTGGCTCCTGGATATACGAGTGCGTCTATTCCACGGACTTATCGTGTCAGAGCTTCCTTTGTGAATGTACACGCCCCCCCGTTGCACCAGGTTGCACGGGCCATTCATGGACTGTTTCCGGTACTTTAATCATATTTTTTTGGAACTATATCTTTTGCACCCAAGCTACCCTCCTGGGTTTCTTTTGGGTAAATGTTGCAGCTGCCCCCCCCCTCTACCGTGCTCTATCTAGCTTCACATGTGTCCCTCCTTCCTTCATAGAGATCCGCTCATAAAACGTCCATGTTTGCTTGCCAGTGTTTTGGGAGGCACCATGATTTCCATGATACTGAGAAAACAATTCGGATAGAAGGGCTGGCTTAGCCGGCCACCATCCCTTCTCTTTGGCCTTTGGCCAATGGTCGTGGCTGGAATCGCTACATACAATGGATTCGCTGTCAGGTTGCTTCTGAGTCAGCATCGAAGTGGCATGTAAAGCATGCACAAGAAGCTGACATCTTGTTCGCCCTCCCTACCCTTTTTGCCTTTGGCCAGTAGTCGTGACTGGGACCGGTTTATACACTGAAATCGTTGTCATGTTGCTTCCGAGTCAGCGTCGAAGTGGCATGTAAAGCATGCTCGAGTAGCTAAAATTTTGTTTGTATACGTGTTCAGTAAAACATAATGTCTCCGGTACGCGTAGGTACAAAAATAGATAAGTGTGCCTGCTATATTGATAAACCCGAATTTACACGTACTTATATACATTATACTTAAAGATGAAAGGTGACAAGCAACAGCAAATTTGGCACAACAAATTCGACACTTAAAATGAAACACCAGTTCGGCCAAATTACTGCCAATCAACGAAACAGCGCAGTGTGATTGGATAGTATGCTATAGATGGTGCGTTTAACTCAGTAGGAAATCAGTGAGGCTTTGCATAGAGGTAAGAAGCTTGGGCGACCCGATGGCGCAGGAGCTGAGAAGTCCACAGTCTGTTGTGTTGAGTGAAACTACGCCACCAAATGCTTCGGGTGTTACCGCTTCACAAATACATAATATGAAGAGAGCACGCCCGAGGCGACAAAATATTATTTTAAACAATGGTGATCAACTCATTTACAAAATACAAAACGTAGATGGTCAATTACGTCATAATAGACTGAGAGAAAGCTAAGGCAAAGAGTGAAAAAGAATCAGATGAACACGAAAGCTATGTGCACTGGATCTTACCAATAAAGATCGCCAGCCGCAACTTAAAATGTACATGCCAAGAACATCGTATGGAAGGCTCGAGAGATGTCCACTGTAGTAGTAGATATGAGTGCCTTACGTCTGCGGGTCACTATGGTCGATGTGAGACATCACCTATCATCCGTCGTGAAATGTGGTTGCTGTTAGGCGTGTAATTGGACGGGAGAAATCATCTTTTTTGTTTCGTTGATGGCAAAAAAATCAAATACATTTTTCTTTCACTGATTTAAGCACTCCAGAGGCTGCTATATCTATGGGAACAAAGAATTAGAGAAATGATTTAGGGTATACAACTGTATTTTTGCGTTGATGCTTATTGGAGCAGCGTGCTCAGTCATGGTGTCGCGGGTCAGAGCGTTGCGGAGCAGCAAGGAATATATACATACCTTATTAAAGGTACCGTGAGTATTTTTTAAGGCTCATTTATTCCGTATCACGCCGAAGTAACACATATACATCGACGAGCCAGACTTGTAGCGCTTGTCTGAGTAAAGAACGGGTGATCTTTGCTGATCCTGGTCTTTTTGCAATGATTGTTGTTGGGAGTAAAGTGCAAGAGCACAAAATATTTGTGCTTAGTGTTTGGCGTTTGTTCGCCACATTTAATATTGCACACAATGAACCATCAATTATACTAATGCTGCTTGAGATATATGCGACAAGGATCAAATTACTGAAATGATCTATAACGATATGCAAAACCCACTCAAGACCGCCCAGTGATCATGACTCAAAATAAGGTAAAGGTGTCCAATGTCGCGTTGAGACTGGGGTTTTCGTGGTAGAATTTCAAAAGTGCAAAATTCCACACGTTCACATACTGAGACAGCCGTCACGCTAAGAACCAAATGATTGATGCAGTAGAGCATATCAGATTACCTAATGATAAGAGCCTTCTGGCTGAAATAGCCAATCCGCAAAGGCAAGAATCCATAAACAAATTAATTGCAGCCGAATCACATAAACAGAAAAGGCTCTAGTTCTTATAGAATGGTAATGAGTTACATGATCTCAGCATGAAAATCTAGCACTTTTCAGTATTAATAGTTGCAAGTGCTTAGAGTCATTGGAAGCTTTTGAGAAAATTAATGCATATAGCCGCCGACAATAAATGACTCTTGAAAGAGCACGACGCTTGATATAGTCTAATCAGTTTAATGAGCATGAAAACAAAACAGATATTTTGTGGGTCATGCCGTACGATCCTTGCCACTCTCAGAACTGCAAGTGTGGTTTGTGCTGCTATCATAAGTGTGAAGTATTTATATGTGTAACGGAGTTACACGTTCCCTAGTATGAAAGTGCGGGTCGCACAAGATGGTACGACCATACATAGGTGTGGATTACATAAGTTGGTGTCACACAGTGGTGTGGCTACACCGTAACAAGAAGCCACCATGTGGCAGGATTGCCAGTAGTAATGCATATTACTACAAAAACTAGGTTTTGCTATATTAATTAGGAAAATCTAAGGTTTGAGATATTGGCAGCTCTGCCGCAACTAAAACAATTGAATACAGTTTCAATCTTAAACGGAAGAGCCCCTTTATCTCAATAAAGATTTTCAGTAATCTTGGGGGCAGCGGATTGCGATTCACTGCACTCGTACTAGTTCTTGGAAGAACGTATGGTCGGAGATCTTAGCTTAGCTTCCTATAAGCAAAGCGCCGTGGCAGCCCCGCCAATATGAGCATGTCAACCAAACATCCGATTAAGCAACATTAATTTTCTAGCCGTGAGCGATATATATGTTTAGATCAAGTAAATCATTTCATATCTGATGGCAAGGTACATATCGCTGTTTGAAACGTGCAATGTTTACGCATACATCCCAGTATCGTATGGAAATGCTCCAAGTATACTTCCTTGGCAGATCTGAAATCTTCGTCCTTCAAATGGACAGAAATGTTGTAAAAAAGGTTTGTGCGAAGCGTCGCAGTGATCGAAACAGATATGAAACAATTTGATTGAACGTTGTATGTATTGCCTTGACTGCTCGGACCGATAACCTTCAAACTGTCGATGAAAGTGAGATGTGTGGGATGGACCTTGCGATTGAGATACCTTAAAAGGTTTGTGAGCTGGACTTTATGCATGACGGAGGCTTAGAGATGTTTCCTTGCCAGCACTCGGCAAAAATCTTGCTTCACTCAAAATTTGCAGGGGATTCAATTTTATGGGATAGATTATAGCTGACAAAGAACATCGTATAATCTGTTTAGAGAGTGAGAAATTTCAAAGTGTTGCTTCCAAAGGAGTTCCACCTCACAGACTGACGCTAAAGACAGGGCCACCCATTATAATGAGTGCAATGTAATCCCAGGCCAACATACTGGACTGTTTGAATTGTCGAACTAAGGCTTTGTGTGATTGATGCAAATATTATCATGCGTGAGCGCCAAGACCAATATGACTCGTGCTTTATTGGTGATAGCGATACAAACAGCTTCCAGTACAGTCAGCTGTTGCTATGACCATCCACATGGCACAATGACAAACGGTGCAAGGGTCGGGCCTTGAACTAGCATCTCCCTGCTTCTCGTATGCACAAACCATACATAACTTTGTGTAGCGTTTCCTCGAATTTGAGCCTCGAGGTACTAATCGAGTACCCAGAGCTGAAAGATGACCAAGACGTGTATACAGCAAATTCTTATAAGAAAATTATTTTCTTATTTGAAAAATGGAACACAGATGATCATATGCTAGAAAACATGCTCGATTTTATTCTCCTTTTGAGTCGTATTCGTGTGCTCTTTAAAGTATGAAGATACGTTTGAAGCGCCAGAAATAGGTTCTTTCAAGTTAATACACCTCAACAATTGTGCGATTGAGGTGACGAGAAGTTTTTGGTAATCCAAAGTTCGGTTTCTTATGATATAATTCTAGCAAAATCTCGAGAAATATTGCATTTCTCCATTCATTAATTTGTAAGATGTCGCAACCGATGCTGATAGGCTAAGTTTAACGTACCAAAGCATTTGATTATATAATTCAAGACCCGTTCGACCGAGTTGGGGCAAGCTGAAACAGCTACTGAAACAGAATGAGACTTAACATACACTTATTGACCACAACGCGAGCAGCGCTTGTCGAGTGTTCCATTTGTTTTGATACTGCACCCATTTCCCTTTCCGCTTGGTTCATGGATACAAAATATGAATTCTCACACAAGATCGATTGGCGGGTCTCTCACCGGGAGAACGTTGAATTTCAGGAGACTGCCATTACCCTACTTCGTAAAATTGGGTTCAATTGCACCTTCAAAAGAAAGTCGTTGATTGGAGTCAGCTTTAAAAGCAGCAGCTTTGAAAATTGGGCTAGACTAATAGCCTGGGGTATTTGGTTGTTAAAATCAATACCCCGGCTTTTGTAACATTGACGGATTCCAAATTTATTCGGGGGGTTCGAGGTCACAAAGCTTGAAAGGGGTACCGGAAGTGAAAGTTTCATGAGCACGTCTATAGAATACCACGACAAGCTTTCTGATAGCTTCAAGATTGCATCTTTATGTATGGAAGGATGGTATCCTCCACTATGAAGTTGCACGCCAGGAATTGTGGTTCCCCACACCGCGCAACAACGAACAATGCGTCCTGTTAGAAAAGTAGACAATATGCAGAGGCATCATTAAAGCCAAATACATATGCAGTTTCATTGCGTCTCACGATGGAACAACAGTGGGTTTGTCGAAGGTTCCGACGAGTCTTCAGCTAAAGTTTAGGGATTTTAATAGCGTAAACTCTGTCTCATCTTAGACCTATATTATATAAATGATATCATCAAAGGTATGTAATGACCTAAGTTTTCGTGCCACGGATCAACCAGAAGTAATAAATACTGCATGACAACGCACTTCCCCCTAGTGACGCTTTTGCGAGTCATGTGCCCAATTTACCAGGTAACAGAAAGCTTGAAGCAAGGGCACGGAATCACGATGATATGCAGAACATTATTTATTTAAATTGGCTAGCACTGATATTGGTATGTGCTCGGAGCAGAGCTCGAAAGGCAGAAGTAATATTGAGCGGCGTTTACAGGAAAAGAGATAATATATTGCGGTCTCCCGAGTTATTTTCGGCTGGAATGGGAGACAGCGACAATGTATCGTAATCACCAAAGGGCATTCCTGTTCGAAACGCTCATTACAGCTGTATGCTGGTGCATCTCATGCTAAGGCCGTCGGAGTTGTAGAGCTATTTCCCGTAAGACGAGCCTGATGTTACGGCGAATCGTTGTGACGACGGAGTTGGTAGCGCACCAAAACTGACGCTTAACGACCAAGTAGCAAAATGAATAAAACACTCGTGAATGGAGGAACATGAGCATATTTAGATGCTGTAAGTCATCTCTAATTGCTTCCGGCAGAAATGCTTATCGTGCAAGTCGAAACATACATCAAAAGATGCATGCAAAGAATTGCAATTTGTGAAGTTACCCGAATGGTTGATTGGCACCGAGGAAAGAGACAGGATCATCATCCCTCTAATTGAGTACGAGGTAGATTAATATATGGAGCACTGAGAGCGAGGAGTGGGAATACTACTCTCACGGAAATTTTCTTTGTTTGAATCCTAAATTGAACGTCACTACATGGTGCCAAGAGACCCGCCACGCTTGTTGCTGCCGTATCGCAGGGTGCGCCATGAGATCAATATGGTCCTCAAAATGAGATATCGCAATTGACCTAGCCAAAGGAAATGTGTGACACTATAAACACTTTCTTTCATACGAAGCACAAAGCGGGTTTGGTTAGAGAGAATATGTCCTCCACAGATCGCCGAGCTCGATTTAGATAGGCTAATTGATAGCGGCAAATTACGCATACTGACAAAAATCTAATGCAATCACCATTCCTACAAATGATCGCTTGCTGTTTGTCAGCTCCGAATACCTTATTGATGATTATTATCAACTACTAACGAGAGACACTGATGCTCCTCTCACTGAGGTACATACCAACGATCTTCCAACGCCAATGATACAGCTGCTCAGGCCATATCGTGGCTATGCCAAGATCTATTCCGACAACGAATTCGAAAAATGTAAAACATTGTCTTCCAAAACATGAAAAAATACCAAGAACCACAATGATCACTGTAAAGCAGTGCGGATGTATCGCGCCTCAGTAAAGGTTTGGCAATCAAGAAAAGTGGTTCTTTGGCGCTTACATTATTCCCTTTCTCGTTTGCTTCATCGGAGAGCATGACATACGCGTAGATCTCGCAAACATAAAGGCTAGATGAACTGACCACTGCCTCGGTTTGTAAGAATACAAACGAGCTTGATCGGACAGACTACTTACACAAATAACGTGCAAAATAAGCAGACATGGCACTACCAATTTCCCTAAAATGAATGTCGTACGGCGCTGTCGTGCGTCAGAAGAGATGGACGTCAGGATTTGAATGACATAATTTTACATCCCCTGATTCTGGCTCTTTCAAACACAAATCGGCTATTTGACGTCATCTGTGACGCTTCAGCCATAGATGTAGTCTGTGATTTGCTCCGAAGGATAGGCTACATAGAACGTTGTTTGCGGAGTCGTAGCAAATTTCAAACTACTGTAAATACACACATATCTTCAACTGACTTACATTATAATTACCAAAATTAAATGGCTGACAAATTATCTGCAATTACAGCTTGGTGTCACAAATTAAATTTTTTGATGATGCAACTAGCTCTGGTTTGTATCTCTATTCGGAAGCCCCCGGTGCATGCGGCTATAGAAATCACCAAGTGTCATTTATTGTTATTGGGTGTGAACGTGAACTCTAAAGTGTGCGACTAGACTGTGTTCTACACACAGGTGCGCCAATAAGCACGCGCGCACAATATGGCCCGCTACATTCCTCTACTTTACACTGAAATGTCAGAAATGAAAACATTCTTTTATTGTCAAATGACTTGATTATTTTAAAGATCATTTATGCGCGATGCTCAAAGAAACTAGCTCAAAACGCACATTGCTTTTAGTTGCATAGGTTCGTCACGTGGAAGATAATGACAAGGGACGCCTCCGTGGGAAGTTGGCCACCTCATGCATAACTTAAGCCCACATTAAGTCCAAGACCTAAGCCCAAAGAGCCAAGACGACCGTCAGCGTTGCTTTTTAAACAGCCCGTTCAAGGAACAGACATTCGAGAGCATGCAGCATGTCAATAAGTACCCCCCATGATACCCAACCAGTCTTACACCATTGGCTAGCGTACCCGAGGAAGACTCAAAGGAGCAATGCGCTGAGGTCAACTGAACCCACAAAGCTTGACTCTGAGACCAGAGCCCCTGTCCTCCAACAATCGACGCGCAACTAGATTGCCGTGCACTTTGCTCAGTTGAGAATTTGACTCAGATAGAACTTGGGTTCTATCTCGCGGGACAGGTGCAAAACCGACAGCTTTTTAAATGACTTTGTTCTTTTTTGCAGTTTGCACAATTAAGTCTTTCAAAATTTAATAGATAAAGTACCTGTCAACTGTATTCAGTAAAAGACTTTATTTATTGCATAAAGAAGCTCAAAACCCGCGATTCCCGGAGACACCCTACCCGTGATTCCCGGAGACACCCTCGATACGGAGTCTCATTGTCATCGTCAATTCCAGCACTCAAGTGCCTCTGAGGTCCTCAAAATTTCACAAAAATGTCATGTTTATCAAGACACAAGACACTTACGCAAATGTCTGATGTCTCGCACATATGGCAATTATTCAATGTTTACTTACAAATAGTTCGACTCGTTGCCCCTTACAATCATCCTACCAGGATGTGAGCCGCACTAAGGCCTACATTTATTTTCAGCCTTTGAGAATTAAGTAGAGTAAATAATTAGAGAGTAATATCCACGCTGTGGCATTCACCCACTTCTTGTATTCTCCAGTGTCAGCTCATAGTCTCGTTTGTGCGTCAAGAGACGTATCCTATACATATCATCATTGCTTTACGAGGTCCTGACAACGAGAACGTCATTGCTCTCAACAAAATGAAAGCCATTTGGGAGGAGGAACCTGCCGATAAAATGGTTGCTGTGAATTTCTGGATCTAAAACCGATATTCCGAGTCTCAGCGAGTGACATACGGCAGAGTCATTAACGATAAAGATGGGGTGCGAGACTCCGCCTCACTCTTTATCAATGACGTATTCTAGCCTGTTTCCTACGACAGAAGTTGTCGTGATTCCTTGCCGCAAAATTATCGACGACGTCCGCCTCGACACCAATAGGCTGATTCTGGATCAAAGGCTTAGCTTGCCAGGCTGCAAGCTCGTGAGACATTTGCTTTATACCGACTCAGCCACGTCGTTATTTATCAATCTGATACTGCTCGCCGCATCTTGACGGAACCCTTCGTTGCTTACTAATTCCTAACTTTTCCTTTAACAGCTAACATAAGAACTTCGCGATCGCTTTCTGGCCCCGAAGGCCACGGCAGCATAGCTTTATTCTACACTTAGAGCAGCAGTGCTGCCGAAAATTATCGTACTTGACTCGCGCACAGGGTGAGACAGCACACAACAGCGCCACCAAATAGCATTTCAAGCCAGCCTCAGTGAAGACGATGTCTGGCTAGAGTTACGGAGCACAAAATGCCACGTGAACGTCGAGTTTAAAGCACTTTGCTCAAATTCTTGTGGCTAACAGACTGCTCTTGTCATGAGAAAGTACTGACCAAGTATCGAGCTTGGAGTACGATTGGTCATCACTCACCAGTGAGAATCGTGTTGCGATAGGCAATCTTTTTTCTTTGCTTTAGAAGATAAAATTCGAAGGTGTGCCAAGCCATACGTTCCAACAGCGCCGAGGCAATCTTGCCAAAATGAGATCTCAAGCGACATGAGCTACTGATGCAAAAGTGCCCTCTCCAATCAACCAGTTGCTGTTCACAGTCCTAGTATATCCGTTGCTCTTTTAACCGCTCCAAACAAAAGTCAGCCACCGCTTGCTCATTCAGAAGCATCGGTGGAGTTTGACCCTTCCGCGACTGGATCTCGTGAATTTTCTCATATGTGAACATACGCCGACTTAGAGCAACAGCAAGCGTCCAAGGCTGCAACGAATTAGGTCTAGAATTCACTCGCTGAACGTCTCCGCCGCACTGCCTGACTTGCAAAACCCCAGTGGGTCATCCCCGTGTTACGGCTAAATGAATAGGACAGCTGAGCTAAACGAGAAGGTCGTGTCGTTAGTCCATCGACAGTGCGAATAGCTCATAATAGCAAAAGCAGAGTTTTTCACGTCCGAATAGCTCTATTGGCTTCTATTAGCCCACATAAATGATAATATACTTGCACACCCTTTGAGATGTTCAAACGACAACTCAATCTCTTGTTCGCTACGATGATTGTGCAACGCGATCGCAACTTAGTCGTACAGACTGCAGATATTAAGTGATCAGTAGGTTATTTGTATTCGATAAATATTCTCCCCGCTGTATTCTTTTCTGTTTCGCCTGCCCCTTCTTTTGACTTTAGTTATATGAATATCCTGGCTTCCTGCCATAGTGCCGTGCACTCGAAGATGACGCTCGTCCTCTTGCCAAAAATCAGTGACTTTGCTACAATATTTATCCGGTTCTGATACCTGCGATTTGAAGTGTATCGACAAACATTCCCCAACAAGCGCCAAACCTACTTCGCATTAATTCTAGAGGATTACTCGACTAGCCCAAACAATTTAGGAAATTTGTAAAGCCTGTGGAGACATGAATTGCGTTATTGAAAGCAAACCAATTGATATAACGAATTTCCTCCCAATATAATTTCTCACGCAATTTATTGAAGCGTACCCTTCACCACGCTTCTATCGCTTTTAGTACGCTGGTAAAGAAGAAATTTTTCTTGTCACCCTCTGTGAGTGATGAGTTGGCGACGATGGGAGCAGCGTAGCATGATCTGTATCGATGTTAAATGGCTTTGTGCCAGACAGATTCACCTTATCCTTGACAGAAGCCTACTTAATAGCGAGTTACTCCTTGCCATGACAAACGTTGTACTTCTCTGCCGTTTTCAGCTTTCTTGCCTCAGTGCGCTCGTGTGTTCTTTTCAACTAGCATTTACTTAAATAAATGCAAAAAAGCTCTATAGCGATGGTGGAAACGTCAAAGGTGGCATGGAATGTCCAACCCAAATTTGGGAAAGCTAAGATTATGATCCACGCGAAATCTCTTTCCCAGTCTGTTATTATTCATAACTACTAACGATTTACTACCGCGTGCCAAGACCATTCTACACTTACTTGGGTGTTGTGTCTGTCAGCATAACTTGCACTATACGAATGCAAGTAATTAGCCAGGCCAAGTGAATTAGTTTAGTCGCTTTAAGTCACCGAAACTAGTTAATTAACGATGTCACTGATCTCTGCGGGCATTGCTCACTCGGCATGCTTCTCCATGCAGCGATATATAACTCGTTATGCAGCACCAATGACATACTTGCCTGTATTTTCAAATCGACACACTTAGCGCCGACACTCGAGCATTGCTCCTAGTGTCTAAGTTTGGTGCTCATTCGATACTCTGTGTCTGCACGACTTTGAGTTTATACAGGGTTAGTCAGTTTTACATAACCACAATATGTCCTAAACAGCAGCGCCAGACGATTGGATGTTTCGCAAAATAAAGCGTACCTTTGGCCTGACCTGTCCCTCCCAGAGCATTTAAACTGGAGTACTCACAGCAGATAAAATAGTTTTGCTGTCTCTTTGGCAACTGATAATTCCATCAACCTGGTCGAAGATAACGAAAAAATTGCAGTCGACTCAAAAGATCGCCTGTACTCGATTGTAGGAGTCTTTGTCTGTGTCAGTCTAGTAGCAGCATTTAGCGTGATATAAGGATACATAAGTAGCCTCATCCTGGCTGTATTCTGACACAAAAGTAAAAACACCCACCTTGTCGAAGGCACTGAAGTGGCACCGTGGAAACTACACCCGGTATGTATTGCGTCATCCACCGATTCATTCAAATAGATGTGGTGGGCGCGAAAGGTCTAAGAACATGCGACTTCAGTTTGTTTTACCCTCCATAAAAAAAAAGTTTTGTTTTAAATCTCAGAGTATGGTCTGTTTCTTCCCGGTGATTGGAGGTCCCAGCATCTAAAGATAGTGCACTAATCCCAGCTCTCTTCACGAGTGAACACAACCTTGGATCGCAACCGATAGACCTAGTTCGGCGGTGCGACCATTCGCGCCATATGTTTCTGCAGACCTTCCCATATCTGTAATTCAATTTATTTCAAAGATCTCTGGATGGTATTTCAGTATGGTGCGTAGTCTTTTATAGGCTGCGACCCACGACGGCCTTCTACTTACTTTGGAGTTCGGCCGATATATTGCCCATCCCATCCATTCTTTTTAACATAAGATTGTTTTTTAATGTTCTCAAAGAGCTAGACGCCCATCATAAGAGGCCTCGGTTTGTGCCATTTGTGCTTCCATCGACGCCCGGCTTGGGTGTTCTTGGGAGTGTCGTGTCACGGCGTTTTTCTAGCTGGTGAGCGCCTAGCAATCTATTTCCGATCCTGGCTTCGATGCCCTCAGTGGTTACCGCTTTTGGCTCCTGGGCCATTCGTATGATGACCCGTGTCGCAATGACAACAGATTTCTGAGCGCGTCTAATAGTTTTGAGACATGCCATCTGATGCCTCGTCTTCTATCTTATACAAGAGACAGGTATTCACGGCTCGGTCATCAAATTGATAGCATGAACTGCCAAGTGTAATGGAGTTGCTATTCATCTTGCACAGAAGAAGCTTTCGCCCAAAAATGCTGCATCAAATCACGCGGAGAGACTAGTTTAGTATGCTCCACTCGTTAGCTGGCCCGACGTCTTATCCAGTATTTTAGTCCTTTTTTGCTCTAGTGTTCCTGCAAGATAGGCATGTATTCATGATTCATGTGGTATGTATTTTTAATATGAATTGTTTTCAATTGACTTTACGCGATGGTTGAAATATCTATTTTGCAAGATGCGATACTAATAACCCACGTATACCACGAACTTTTTCTTCACGAAGTCCCACCATCTTCTTGAAAACTGACGATTTGGTACCCATGAAAACATCCAATTGCTCAAACGTTTAAAGTGATTTTCGTACGGCAGTATTTTATTATTTTTGTATACGATCAAACGGACGTGTAAGGCGTATGTACATATCGTTTCGCACATACCTCGTTATAATGGTTCAGCAGAGTTTGTATTAACATCTACGCTTCATCCAGGTAGGTTTTGTGCAGCAGCTCGCTGCAATTGATGCTCCTAATAGTCACTACGAAGTCTAAGCGGATAAAACGACTGGTTAAATCTCGATGAACTGAAGCTACATCATCCATTCGAGCAACACTCGGTGTACACCCCTCTAAAGTCGGAAAATACTTTCGGACAGGAAACCTTGGAAGTTATTGTCTCCGGCTCAGTAGGTTGAGGCGTGAAAACGTTCACCCAGTCTGGATGTGAGATGTCCCAATGAGAAAAGGATCCTTTCTGGGTCGGTATGCCACAACCTCTGCGCGTCCTTATTCTCAGAGGTCAAAAGTGCACTCGTACGAACAAAGAGGCGATAAAAAGCCTTCACGCTGGGCCAGTGGGTCGGAGAAAGTCGTGTAGTCGTGTAGTCTACTCTGAGTACAGAGTGCCGCGTTGACCTTTCCAACTTATGTGATCTGGCATAGATCTGACCGGAAATGCGTGAGCCAATGGCGCTTTGATGTCTTGCATCCATGCGGTTATGTGAGATGCTGCATGCCGTCTTTCTACCAGTCAGCTATGGCGTTTGTGGCTTCTTGCATATAAGCCAGAATGGCGTGAGCTTCATGAGTACATTCGCGAGATGCTCGTGTTGACCGACACTTATGGTGGTAAGCACTTTGCATGAACATGTCACGGTGTTCATGAACCTTCTCAAAGGAGAGCTGACTTGTACGCAACAATCTAGGGGACTGACATTGGAGGTGGATTTTACCATACAGACCGTGTTTCAGGATGAGTACAGCTTTAATCAGATTTGAACCCTATGGAATGTAATGGGCATGCTAGCACAGGCTGTGTCTCAGAAGCAGATACGCAGCTGCTATCGGCTTGGCGTAAGTGCAGCCGAGAAAAGCAATAAACGTTGCTTTAGCTACTACGAGCTCTGCATATGATATGTGCCTGCCATGTCAGTAGGCAAAAGTAGAGAGTACATACTCAAGCCTGTACCTTTGCCCATGGCTTTCCTACGCCACATTACTCAAAATCAATTCTTGATGGCTAACCCTCTTTACGAGATATAATTGCTATTGTGATTGCTAGCTGGCAAACAAAATGTGCTTGCTGAAGCTATCTGGTGATGACCTGACTATTAGCTGCTGCACATTAGTCAAATAATCTCGTCTAATTTTGAGTATTTAGACGAGTCGAAGTATCAGTGCTTGTGAAAATGATGGGACTTCGTGGAGAAGACGTCTGTGTGATTCACGTGGGCTAGGCAGATAGGTATTAAATATAGCAATATATATCAAATATTATTATGGTCGAAATCTTTCTACATAAATAAGAGCAGAGCAATCAAAGTACGTAGACAACTCAGAGGCTCTCAGTTCCGCATCTAGTTAAGCGTATAAACTTTTTTGCTCGATGTCTATCTGTCAACACTTTCTCAGGAGTAAAAAGCAAATACATTGCACTCTGTGGCACTTGCTTTCATCGGATGACCAAGTCGAGAAAGACTGTCTCCTGTGTGAGATAGAATGCGAGTAATTCAATGAACCGTTATTTGCTTTCAGTCTTGATGTCGTTCGTTGTAATAAAAAGCTCAGTGAAGTGGCGGGACAGGTGCCAGAAGTAGAGATTGCTAATGCTGCGTTAGTAATCGACTATGAAAGTGCGCTACTACAACGCATCTAGGAACGCTTTTCTATCCTCCGATGATAGCAAAAACGGTTCTCACCGTTAGCCCGCTGATGCTTAGCATTAATAACTTTGAGAAAATGAAGTAAAGGTTTTCCTCTTAGATGAGGTAATATGAGATTGCCCTGGCATTCCCAACATGGAAAGGTTTCAACAAGAACTTTGAAGTCATACGTCAAGGAAGTCAGGAAGTGACAGGCTATATCCCGAAGCTACGTTCAGTGTGCATATTTCGTGCCGCGTAGAACTCCTTGCGAAGGAAGTCGAGTCCTAAAAGGTGTGGAGAGCCTACTAGGCTCTACAGTACCTTGTGGAAGCTGGACTCAGACTTAAATAAAACGACTATTGCTCAAAGAGGTATGACGGAAAGCCCGAGATTGTTGGTTGTTGATATCAATGTCCCCGAACTTGTGGGGTCTTGAATAGCCCGCAAAGCTTTAAAAGCATCGTATAACTACGTGCGACGTCCGATGATTGCATGCAATAGCAGTGAGCGAAGGCATTAACGATCAAAATCTGGATATATTATTGATGCGGCTTTCTATGTGAACACTGCTGAAAGTGTTGAAGCTTCTGCTGAAAATTCAGATAAAGGTTGAAGGCTTTGACAACGTGGAATGTTGTGTCATCTTGGACCCGGTTTCGAGGTACAAACGCATCCTAATAGGAAGGTTTGGTGCAGTTTGAGCGCTATAAGCAATTGATCGAATGGGATTCAAAAAATGTATATCCACGCGCGTCTCGCTCGATGGAGTTTTGGTGAGTCGCAAAGTTATTGCTAGGACGCAGAAGTGTCGTTGGGCGCTGGCAAGAAGATATGATAGCTTCTTTGCAGAAAATGTTAAAATTTTCAGTTTTCAATATGAAGAAAAGCTCAAAACAGAACGCAAGGGGCAGAAGCGGCAGATAGCCACGGTCTTTGGATAAAAGTGAGAAAAGCGATTATATTTTCACGTATTTCAGAGTGCATATATCTTGTGACAAAATCAGTGATGTGATGATGAGGCAAGTTCCCATAATTCTCTCTAGTGGGACGGTAAAGAACAAGTTTAAGCTAGTGTTTTTTGGACTTAGATGGTGAAAGGTATAGCAACTAAGCCCCGCAATTCCTTCTGCCAGAGCTGGTGGAGTCGATGCAAGTCGCAAATGGAAGGACCACATCTTTAAATTAAAAAATAATCATTCTTGCCTGAATGTAAGGATATATCATGCTCAGCACTACCATGTGACGCACCCACCGTGCTACGCGGTGAGTCATTTAAACTTGTGGTGCGAATTGTTCTTTCATGAATGAAGTACCCGGGGAGCAAACGTTTACAAGAGCTTATATTGAACTAATAAATCTATTACAAAATTGATTTTACAAATAATTACAATGAGTTAAGGTCACCGAAATGGTACGTTTGGTCCAGAAGGCAGAGCGGAGCTTAATATTTACACGGATGAGTCCGTTATCGAGGACAGCCGCAGAACATTGATTGTGAGAAGTGAAACGGACATCCGTTGGGATCCCATGAAACCTTTTGTTATGTCATGAAAATATATCACGAGGTAATTCCAAAGCAACCCATCACGCCGTTACCACCGTATCAGAAGTGCATCGCATAATTGATTTTGTCCTCGAACCAAATGTCGCGTCACACAACAGTGCTCTTAATAAAATAATAAATCCACGTCATTGATGCGCTCTTTCGTTTGAAGCACAATTAAGTTTCACTATACTGCGTTGTATTTTAGTATTCTGAATATTAGCGGCAAGTTGCGAGTTGTACATGCTTACAACTAGAATGCAAACGCCAGTTTTTGAAGATAATGTACTCAAGACAGCGTGATCAGTTGCGCCTTGTTCAGTGTTCTTGACAAAGTCGATGAGTAAAATACTTTTGAGAGATAGCTTGTGACGGGTCACACGGCACCTTGCACAGAGGAAGCTTGACTTCCAAGAGTATACA